CAGAGCTTAATGTCATAAATTATCTATATTCTTCTAGTAAATATCAATCAGTCATTAGTTTTCAGAAATAGAGAGCAATATCTACTAAACAGGGCCACAATATTAAGACCAGTGACACTGTTTGCGAAATCTGATACATTTTTATATTGATTACCAATAGCATAAACAAGTTATTTTTCCTTATTTCTTCCAAACAAGTGCAAGGGCGCGGGATGTTGATGACTAGTCATCTTGTTTAAATTTTTTTTTTTTTTTTCAGGTATTTAACCGAAGCCATTATGAATCTAGATACAAAAAATCCAGTTACACGTGACCATATGAAAAATGTCTTACACACTTTACTCAGTAAACTTAAAGCATTTATAGCCAATAGACCCAATGACCAAATTACACGCAATGTTAAAATGGTTCAAATGGCTACCCAGTCGCTTCTTAATTTTTAAAAGAAAACAAGTTGTGAATTTGAACTTGAATTTGTCCCTGTGAACATGGGGTTCAAGTGTTGAATAAAGATTTTTAGTGAAGTGTCCTGTATACAGTGCTAATTAGTCAAAGGTTGATGCTGTCAAAACAATACATTAATCTAGCTTGTGTCCATATAATGAGAGATTGTTTATTTTTTACAAATTTTATATCTGGTATCTGCTGACTCTCACGACATAAAATATGGCTAGAATTCTTACAAACGTTCTGTAGCAGATATTGAACTATATTAACTTGAAATATAATTTTTTTGACCTTATGCTAAGAAAGTACCAAAAAAATGGTGGCATAGTGAAATTCCAAAATAAAAGATGTGATATCCAGTGTTCTGGAAGGTCATGGATTTTCTTCCTTGTGCGCTACACCTAATCTTTGTATCTGTATTGTTATTATTAGAACTTGTAAGTATGAAGACAGAAGCTATTTGTAAGATGTAGTAATAATTGACTAATAAGAAAGATATTTCAATCTTTACTTTTAAGATACTTTCCCACACTTATCAACAGTGAATATTTGCTAGTCCACTACAGTCACTGAGAGGGATGACATTGGTGCGGCTTAATGAGCTCGTGATATTAACTTTTTTCTATCTATAAATAAAATTCTAAAACATTTTTTTGAAGTATTAGAAAAATAAAGGAGTTTGAAGTATATCTAGATAAAAGATAGTGTAAATGGGTATATAAAATGGGTAAAAGGCACCATCCTGCCTGGACCATTTAATGCAACATCTTCTGTAAACAAAAACAATGCACATGCCAATGATGGACACCTTGTGATGTGACGTCAGCTATTTGAACTTTTGTAGGTCAGTCATTCAATACAGAGTTATAAGACGGCTGTCACAATACAATCTAATTAAAATACAGATCTATATTTCGTTTCGTTTTTTATACTTTCAATGGCCTACACTACATGTAGATCTAACAAGTTATAGTGGGAGTTCACGTCAGATGTCAAGTAAGCGACATATGACCCTATAATGTCAGTCATTCTATTAACCAATCAGAATCGATGTTGCAAGTGGCTATGTTTGCTTTGTTTTGATTTCTATCGCTGCTAATTTCTGCCCACAGTTCTGCACAAAAAAGGTCAAGCACTCGATGCGACAGACCATTTGGTTGGATGACCCCTCATTTCAAGCAGAACACGAGTTAAATAACAACTCTTCCAGATCCTAGTGTAGTAAAGACGAGTGAAACGAAATTTTTAACTATAAAAACAAAAGGAAATAGGATCTGTGTTTTAATCAGATTGGTCACAATAACGCTGTGAAACAGTCATACTTTCCTAGTTAGTTACATTATATATTGTACAGTAAAAATGATTGATAGTTTCTAGTAAAATTGTCTTTATATGGTGAGATTAGATATCTGGTTATTACATGTATATTTTATAACGGCATGGTTATACTTTTAATGAAATAAACTTAAAATCTGTTGATTCAGGTTTCTGTACTCTAGTTTATAAAATGATGTATCAAAATGTGTCTTTGGTGTACACATATTTTAAAATATTTTGTTATTGTTATACATCGAAAGGAGTTTTCTTATATTTAGTTGATCTTTTTTTTATTTAAAGATACATTATGGGAGATAAGATAAAGAGATGGCAGTTCTCACTATAATAGTTAAAAACTAGATAGTGTAAAGGTAATTTACTGAAAATTTCAGTCAAATTGATCCACTATGAGCCGAGAAAGAAGCGGGTGAAATTTTTGCAAAGTCGCGGTCATCATTACTAAAATCATTAATATAAACAGCATAGTCTCGATTATCCACTTTTTTAATTTAATTATCAATGGCCGTTAGCGGCATATAGGAATCTAATCCAGCCAACATCGAAGGCTAGCCTTGACATCGAGAGTTTATTATGGTCTGGATAAGTTAATTAATGTTTAATTGATAATTTAGATAACATTTCAGGCCTAAAGAAAGACTTGTAATAAGCAGATTTTGCTCTTGCATAATGCATGTTTAATTGGAGTGATTGTTCTTACGTTTGAGAAAACAACGAGAAATTAAATTAATTAATCCATTTCATAAATGAAAAGAAGCCAACAATGATTTATTTCAAAATTAATTTAATTCAATTTCTTTTTTAGAAAGAGTAATAAGGTAGCTCGTTTAAGATCAGTATTTAGTTTTTTTTCTTATTAGCTTCAAAAGAAAATTTTTATCGATGCACAATTACTGAATTTTTATTTTGATGCATTGTTCAGACCAGTATTTAGCTTCAAGATACATTTTTTATGGATACATAGTTAATTTATCAAGTAAATGATACAAATATGTGGAATTTGTCAAGCAAATGATACAGTTATGTGGATTTCATCAAGCAAATGACACAAAGCATAAGACTTTATTAAGAATTTCTTCAATGTTGCTTTCCCTCTTTTGTACTATACAATACATAGATTATTTGAAATTTATTATTAAGCCTGTCAACCTTTTATGCTTGGGTAGCCCCTTTCCCAAATAACAGCATTTGAAAATAAGGTATGAAATTGAAATGCCAATTAAAGTTAGTTTGTAATTAAATGTAGTCCTGGTATAATGATATTGTACAAGTTTTATTTCAGTTTATTATTTAATTGTCTGTATCTACACAAGGCATGTCATTTGTTTATTGTAATTATATATGACAATATTTTCCATAAAATAACCTGAAATAAAAAAGAGAAAAATTAATATAAATCAGAATTACTTCATATTTTTTACTGGTTACACCTCAATGTTTGTAGGGGTAGTTAGTGGCCTTGTTGTTGCAGACAAGTTATCTTATTTTAATTTTTATTATAGAGCACACGCAGGGGTCTTTCTTGTCGGAGGAAACCTGAGTGAGTAAACACACGAGGATGAGAAGGCAGCACCATCTCAAAGCCACATACGCTCACACCAGCGATAGAAAAAATAACTGCAAGTCAGAGGTGACCAGCCAGCGAGAACTTCAACCACCCGCCTCCCCCCCTCCCTTCAGTGGTGTAATTAATGTGCAATTAGATTTTAAGGTGTGCCATTGAGTCAAGTGTGGTTTTGATCCCATGCTTGAACATGACAAGGAGTAGTGTTGACTGCCCTACCTTATATGTCTTTTTCGGGCCTCCACTTTCCTCCCACTGCTAACTAGACGCATTATGCATAAGCAAATTATTGAAATAAAATTGTACCATTCCTTAGTTCCAATTAAAGATACATTATGTAAGAATTAGATAAAGAGCTAGCCATTCTTGCTATAATAGTTCAAGAATAGATAATGTTAAATGAATAGTTTGAAAATTTCATTCAAATTACTCTATTGCGAGCGAAGATATTAGTCTTTGAAGGTTTGACAAGACGTGTGCAATAATTTCAATCACCGTACTGGTTGATCAAAGCTAAGTCTCGCTTCTCCATTTTTAGCTTAAATCTAAATATGGCAGAACTGTTCTAATCTATTTAATATCGGAGAAATCTGATGCCATCGAGAGTTGATTATGGCCTGGATAAGTTAATTAATGTCTAATTAATAATTTAGAAAACATTTCAGGCCTAAAGAAAGACCTGCAATAGGCAGATTTAGCTCTTGCATAATGTATGTTTAACAAGCTTTATGTTGTGTGGATATAAAACACCCATTTCTCTCGTGCTCACAGTGTGTGCACATACAGTCACCAGAAGGTTACACCCATGTGTAGTTCTCGAATAATGATAATGAAAAGTGGTATCAATCTATTCATTCCAATCCAATCCAATCCAGTCCATTTAGTGCACAAGGCTGATCAATATATTCATAGAGCTTGGATTGACAGTTTAGATTGGGATTTTAGAAGCCAAAAACAAGACGTAGAAGGTAACATTGGGATTAATGATCACAAGCATTGAGCTGTTTAATTAAGAACAGAAATTGTTAGCCATGCAATGTTACCAAATAAATGAAAGTGATATTGGGTGTTCCAAAAAGAATGAGCTACAGGTAGTTTTAAAAATTGATTTTCGATTGCATTTACTTTGTTCGACCACATACATGTAAAGATCTCGTGTAAAGATCACGGTTAATTGCTGAGCTAAAAAATAGAGAAATGGGGTTAAGTGTCCACTTGACACAAACTAGGTCATTTCGGGACTAACACATGGTTCATTTTTAATTCAATAATTCGCTTGCGCGTAGGGAGAGTTTAGCAGTGGAAGGTAACCGGAGGATCAGTAGGAAACCCATGAGGTTGGACAGGCGAAACCACGCCAGTTGACTCAATGACAGACCTTATGATACAGCATGCACATGCTAACCATTCGGCCATCCAACCCACCAGTAGGCCTACCCATACATTAAAAGCTCTTGAAACTAGAATACTTTTAAACTTTTTAACAAATGATATGAAACCAGTTTAATCAATTGGCATCTCTGGATATACAGGTCATTTAAGATTGTATTCAGTTATTTTCCTGTTAACTTTAAATGAGATGAAAAACTGTGGTCTACATCCTTGGCGAATATCCAGAGTTAGCGCCCGTTAAGAATCTTTTTTTGATGAGATAGAATCGGTTAATCAATGAAACGATTGACTGCCAACATCATTAAATAAAACGGATACACTACTTTTTAGGTCTTTAAAATGGGCCAAAATGCCCTCAATTAGTGTTCACAATACATATAAAGACAAAGGAAACGTTTATACAGATCTAGGTCATGAAAAAGTAAAGGTATTGTATCAACGAAGCACATGGATGGCGTTAATAACATATTTTTTTGTTTATTTTATTAACTTACCGGTATTCAGTTAAATCTGCAAAATAAGGCCAGATTCAACTTCGTCATTTGACTTTTAATTCGAACATATTGCATTGTTATAATTATGGTCATCATCACTCATAAGCTTGTCAGTATTTGTTGCTCTCTGTTAAAGTAGCTAAGTCTCTAAGTTTAAAGGGACTTATCCCGATTTGAACAGAGTGACAGTCTTAAAAATAAAAGTCTGAGTACGTATGAAATTGAAGTACCAAAATATAGAGGAGTGGTGTATCTACCTTGTCTCAAATTTTAGCTCAAAATATTGAGTCGTTTGGACGTGAATGTCAAAACTGCTTATCCGGACACGTAACCCTTTTAAGATTTCGGGACAATTTTTTCGTTGGGTGATCTGATAATCGATCCCCGTTCCTTTAGCGGTCTGTACAGTGAATTTCACATGTGCTGTAGGGCCTACTTGATAACGAAAGGTAAATTCCACCTACACATTATTCTTATAAAATAAAAGTCTGGTTTTATCCAGACACCGTATAATACAGCTTGGGACACCGGTCTCCATTTCCAGATGGAGACTGACGGATTTATGTTGTTTGAAAACATATATATTAAGTTAGTTGCTCTGCCCTAAGGTAGATGATTTTAAGACAAATTTATCTCCAAAATATTATCGGGATTGGCCCTTTAACTCAGTATCATCCAAACTCTTCGACATTGAAAACACAAATTATTTGTCAATTTAAAACATTGATGTTGTGATCTTACCGGGAAAAGATGGGCTTCTGATATCCAATATTTAAGACAAAATAACATTTTACCATTGGTAAAAGAATCGTGCATTTCAGCGCAATTTGTAACAAGGGACTCTAAGAATTAATTACTAATTAGGCTAGACATATTCCACAAGTCATGTCAAATGGTGACGCCATATTCTTATCTGGAGAGCATGTACAATAAATAGCCCACTGTCTGGAATAACCAGATGCTAGAGATTGTCATTCGATTGAAACTTCTGCCTTATTTCGTCGAACATAACTGATTTGAAATTAGAGTAAAAATGGAGACGATTGAATGTAAACTAGTTTATATACATTCATATTACAATATTATATGCATTGCGACCCATTTGTTTCAATTTTATGGTCCCAAATATTAACGATATAGCTCCTTTAATATGAAATGAAATGTCGAAATAGGATTAACAATCATCCAATTTGTTGTGGAAAATGGGTGGTCGAGCGGTGGTAAGGTCCATGGTGGAACACTTGTGTTCTTTATAACACAAAGTCTGTCATTGAGTTAAGTGGTGTGATTTCGATCCTAAGCTTGTAAATGACAAGGAGTAGGGTTGCCTGCTCAACATCATGGATATTCTCCATGTCCTCCTGTTTCCTCCCATGTGTAAAGACCCCTATATGTAGGTGCAAGCAAATTATTGAAATCAAATTGTACATACATGTAGGGGCCTACTATGTTTGTCCCGAAGTGACCTAATTTGTGTCAAGTGGACAAATTAAACCCCATTTCTATCTCTCTCCCTATGGACTACATGTAGATGTATGAGGATATTTTCCCCGGAGAGCGGTGTATCTACATGCTCTTTATCGGCTTTATCCAATTGTCATGAGTTGTTTTATGTACACGCTAATGTTGTCTAGAGAAGCTCTCTTCTCCACAATACTGACATACATATATTGTGTATCCTGAGAAACTGTCTTGGTCAACATCAGGATTGGTTAGTGAGCCACCATCATACTTCACCATACTCTCCTGTACATGTGTCTTTCTGGGCAAAACATAAATACTGAAAAGTTATTTTTAAAAATTAGAAACATGGTTGATGGTCTTGATATTGTATAAGGACTGCTTTCTCATTTTCACATCATGTATACTGCCAGCTCACAAAATGACTGTAGGAAGACTAGGCAGGTAGTTAGACTACCTGTACTTATAATTATATAATACGATAATTAATGTTACTACAAGATGCATTACTGGTACTGGGTATGTAAGATTTAGATTAAGTTCTCGCTATAATAGGTTTAAAATAGATACCAGTAATGAAAAGGAATATATTGAAAAGTTCAATCAAATTACTTCATTCTTAGCAAAGTTATGACTGTTTGAAGAATAGTGTAATCTCATTAGGACTGTTTATTAGGACAATAAACAAAGTCGTTAATGGATTGAAACACAATCGTCATTTAATAAAATGGCGATTGTGTTTCAATCCATTATAAATCATGACCGTCCAATGGTCAAGGGCGTTGATTATACGCTTGTCATGTGAATAAATTAGTAATTTATATAACATTTGAGGCCAACATTTGGTGTGAAGCAGTGGGGTCATAAGAGGATGAACCCTATCGATATCCGGCATTCTATGACATTCTGTTCCATGGTTACACACTAACACCCTCACACCACCCACCTTACTTTGCCAAAAAAACAAGTGAATAATAGAGGCTATAGTTTGTAAAAGATTCTTTTCAAATTTGAGGCGAGGCATTGTGGTCATAAAGTATGAACCCTGTCAGTATTCATCATTAAAAGCTTTTCTTTCGCATAAGCTGCTGTCAAGACATTGCTGCTGTGTACGCATATTTCCACGCTTGCCGTGCCTACACGTATCTTGTTATATGAGTTCAATTAGTATAAGCTTATCTGTTTTTATTATGGAATTGATTATACTGTTTAATGATACTGGTAATAAAGTGTATATATGTGCACATTCCATTCATTTAATGTTCATGTTGATGTTGTCAGCTCTCTAAATTTACATAAAATAATTTAGTTTAGCTTATGGAATGAAGCAAGCAGATATGCCTTTCTGGCTTGAAAAACTGTTAGATAGTTAAAAGCTGATTAATGACAATATCTTTGTTCAGTGTGTGATCTTTAAAGTTTTTTTGCTGTTTGTATTTTGTAAGCTTGCTAACTAGATAAATAGGATCTGTTCGATTAAGGTACGTATATGCTTATTTAGGCCATACGAAGAAGTTTAAAATCAATTTTGTATCAGAATACATGTAGCATTTAGGGATCGTCGAAAAATTTCAACACCTGCATCTCAAAGAATAACCTGCGGATAGAATAGATCATGATACACCTGCCCATTTGTGCCGAGGGAGTAAAAAGGTGTTGATACAGATGGATTTTTAAGCAAGTTATAAAAGTTCTATTAAAGATACATTATGTAAGATTTAGATAAAGAGCTGACCATTCTTGCTATAATAGTTCGAAAATAGATCATGTAAAATGAATAATTTGAAAATTTCATTCAAATTACTCTATTGCGAGCAAAGGTATTAGCCTTTGAAGATTTGACAAGACTTGTGCAATAATTTCAACCACCGTACTGGTTGTTCGAAGCTAAGTCTCGCTCCTCCATTTTTAGCTTAAATCAAAATATGACTGAACTGTTAATATCGGAGAAATTAATGTCTAATTAATAATTTAGAAAAGATTTCAAGCCTAAAGAAAGACCTGCAACAGGCAGATTTAGCTCTTGCATAATGTATGTTTAACCAACAAAAAACAAATGCATAAATAAATGTTCTCTGTCATCTATTATCACTATTCTTTAAGATATAGTGATATACATCTATTTGTACATATAGTTTTTTTTTTTTTTTAGAAGTTTGATTGCAATGTACTATTTTTTCTAAATTAGTTTGCCACTAGATTTACTGTAGTGTGTACTTGTTTTATTTAAAAGTCCCCAAAAAAAGACAAAATTAATTTTATTCAGATCTTTTATATATTAAGTTAATATTAAGTTGTGACTTATAAATTTCATGTTTTTCATTCCTTTGAAGTAAATAAAAAGCAAGTCCAAATAGAAATTAACATCACTTAAACATGTATGCATATATAATTATGTCTTTCACTTTTTTGTTGGGGATACTTATGTAAAAAGAGAGAGAGAAATGGTGTTTAACATCACTCAAAAGAGAGTGAGAGAGAGAGTGAGAGTTTAAAGTCCACTCGACACAAACTAGGTCATTTCGGGACTAACACATGATTCAATTTTATTTCAATAATTCGCTTGTGCGTAGGAGTCTTTAGCAGTGGGAGGAAACCGGAAGATCTGGAGAAAACCCACAAGGTTGAAACGTACAACCGGGGAATCGAAACCACACCAGTTGGCTCAATGATGGACCTTACAGCGCGCATATGCCATCCACCCGTGCCCCCCCCTCCTTTTATTTAAAGAACCTCAGAAAAGATTTGACATTAACAATTTTAAATTTGGGTATTTTGTTCTGAAATTTCATTTTTCCAGATATGATAAAATGCATTATAAGCCCTTTAGCCTCTCTGTAATCTCTTAGTCTTTTATTCCATGCATCCTCCATATTTATATGTACATGTAGGTAAATAAAGTTTTGGCATGTAACTCCTTTTTCGTTAAATACGCCATCAAATTGGGCATAGACTTTCTAGTTAATTACTCTTTTGCTCAGTATAATGAATGTTTGATGAAGAATTTAAACTAGGAAACTAATCAATGTACAGGTAAACGTTGGAGTATACTTGATACAGGTAGATAAAAGCTAAATGAACAGGTGTACATTACAAGTTATATGAAGACATCTCTGGTTCTTAGTACTATGTATTAAAGTATTTACAGTGTCGTGATATATTAAACATACACTATGCAAGAGCTAAATCTGTCCATTGCAGACCTTTCTTTCGGCCTGAAATGTTTTCTAAATTATTAATTAGACATTAATTAACTTATCCAGGCCATAATCAACTTTCGATGGCATCGGATTTCTCCGATATTAAATAGATTAGAACAGTTCGGCCATATTTTGATTTAAGCTAAAAATGGAGGAGCGAGACTTAGTTTCGAACAACCAGTACGGTGGTTAAAATTATTGCACACGTCCTGTCAAACCTTCAAAGGCTAATACATGTATCTTCACTCGCAATAGAGTAATTGGAATGAAAT